TCTCATCTCATTTTTAACGAAATTTATCTGCATATTATATTGCATAGTCAGTTAAGAAAATACCTTGAACAAACAAAAAAGAGAAAAATAAAGTACATATAAATATAGATTGAATTTGAAATTTTGTTGTTTGAGATGGCCACAACCCAAGACTATTCAAAAGACTATTCAAAACTTGTTGATCTTGTAATATCGTCTTCCAATAAAGTCCATCCTGCATTCTGACAGAAATATATACGAAATATATATATAGAGAGATCCACTTTTGTTTTCTTAAAGAAATACCTTAAAAGTAATTACACAAAGTTCCTTTTTTTTAAAAACAATGTGATACTAAAACAACTGATAATATCTATAATTGAATAATTCCAAATTGACATCATCGCGCGGAAAGAACAGCTGCAAAGTAAATTACCAGACATGCGATATGTGTTTTCTTTAAATTTGCAGATGTAATGTTTGTTGTCTTTTCGTTTAATGACGCAGGTGTTATATTGCTTAGTTTATTTTAATTTCTCGAATAAAAAATTTCATAGCTTTTCGAATTCTCATATATTTTTAAACATTGATTAAATATTAATATTATTCCCATTACACCATATAAGTTTGTATTACTGGTTTATAAATAAAAATTTCAAGATATTTACTAACAAACTATTATTGAAAAATTGGATTGATGCTTTTTTCTGAAAAATAAAGAAGAAAAGCTCTTTTTGCATTTATTATATAATTCTCTTGATACTTTGAATTTTTTAATATAATATTCGAATCTGTCGATTCATATTACATGTTTATTTCATCAAATGTTATGATTATGAAAAACAAGTAGTAACAGAAAATGTGTATTATAAAGTTAATGTTATTTAAAAAAATAATTTCTTTTTTATACTTTCTTTATATTAATATTAATAAACCTATTTATTAATACTAATAATATTATTAATACTAATAATAATAATATTATATTTATTAATATGATTAAAATATAATAACATATTTCATATCAATTGATAATTTCCATCCAATAAATGACATTAATTACATTTATCATTTCAAAACAAAGCTGTTAGCTGTTTCTGCGTTAAATTAATGCAAATTAACTAAAACTTTCTTTGTAATAGTGCACATTACGAACGCGTAGAATAAATTAAGTGAAGTAAGACAGCGACAAGCTGATAAGTTGCAACATAAAGTATTTCACCTCGCATCGTTGCTCAAAGTTATATCGGATTACCAGTATTTATGCTACTTCGGATGATGGGATGAATATATTACTGAAAGATGCTGTTTTTCATGCTTTGCCCTATCATGAGTATTATATCTGCATATATATAAAACGATACATGATATATTTAATAAATCTATATAGTATATTACGTTGTGTGGGCTTGCTAATTAATTAGAAGTATTAAATAAAATTTTTATTAATTATACTGCCATTTTAATCAATTTCTCTCTTCTTATCACTAAAAATGAAAATAAAATAAATTATTAAAGATTTTATTTATTATTATTTATTATTATTATTTATTATCATTTTATTTATTTTATATAGAAAATGTGTCTCAGAATTAAAATTTTTTTACTAAAATATGTGCTGCTATATGCGACTAAATATATAATTGTATATAATTTTCGATACTATTTAATAGAACAAATTACTGTAAAATATGAGACTGACATACTGGTAAGCTGAAACAAGAAACTTATTTTATATATACACAGAAATAATTAAATTTTTTAAATTACAACATATCGAAGAAATTTATTACTGTCGCAAAACCTTCCAACGATGGAACAAATATACCACCTACAGACATAGCAGTACCTTTAATACTTTGTTGCATCATGAATAATAATAACTTTTGTGCATGAAGTGGAGCCTCATACCATTGAGATATATATCTACGAATATATAATAAGTATAATATAATTCATGTTGTATTTATGTTGTTTGACATAACTTTTACACATAGTTATTTTAATACATAAGTAAAAATATAATATATATTAAAATTCAGAAACTTTTTTTACATCTTTTACATCTTTTAAACTTTATTTTCTCAAATCTAGGTGATTTTTACACACACACACACACACACACACACACACACACACACACACACACACACACTACTTACTTTATTTAT